AGCTTGTACTTATTACTAAAACAAGAAAGCAAACGAATAGCATTAATAGTCATTCATTTTAGTTAACATATGCTATGATAATTTGAACAGGTTTTTATTCTTATTGTAAAATAATGGAACATTTAGGTCATGAATATTGTCTCAAAAGTCATGGAAATGTATTGGTAAAAATGTGTACGAACCCTGAATATAGTTAAGATAATTTTTTAATGTAAGAATTTTAGATTTTTATAGTCATGCGAAACTAAATAATAATAATAATTGTTGCTGTTGTAGTTTTTATAATTTTTTTTTTATTTTAAAATTTAAATTATTATTTTTTTTAAATATTTTACTATTTATTTACTTTTTTGTTTGGAATGAACACCCTTTTGCTATCATGGAGCTGCATTTTGCACAATGTGAAACAATACTTATTAACTATATCGTCTGGTATATATCGGCCTGTTGACAGTAATGCCACTTTTCTGTTTTTCTTCTTTTTGGTAGGAATAGAGTGATTAATTTAAAAAGGGGGGGAAAAAATATATATATATATATTGTTTCATACATACCCAGGCTCTTGTCTTGAGTTATTCAAAACGCTTGAATCTTCAATGTAAAAATGTTCTTTCAGTTGTCCAGTAATTGACAACGGGGAGTCACTCAAGTTCAACTCTCTCTTTTGTTTAGATGCATCTGCAGAAGCTGAGTGCTTTGCGCACAGCTCAGATCTACTACAGACAGGATGATCTGTGTGAAACTCTGGGAGGAAACAGCTGTCCCCTTCTCACCATCACAGCCATGCCAGGATCATCCAGCAATGATCACATCAGCCAGTTCAGTATGTAACACACACAAGAATATCACTGATAAGCATACAGCCATAGCAGTATAGCATTCTTAACATGCACTCACTCTCATGAACACATGCATTCTCTTGTAACACTCTCATATGCATTTGCTTTCATGAACACTCACTTGAACGCTCACACACCTTATAAACACACTCACACGCAGGCTCACATGCACCCACTTTCGTTAACACCCTTACAGTACATGCATCTTCATATGCTCACTCTCATTAACACTTTTTCATGTGTCCACATGCGTACTTGTATACACTCACTCCCATGAACACTCTTGCATGCATCCACTTTCATAAACACTCACATGCACTCACTCTCACAAACATTGTTTAATGTGTCCTCCTGCACTCTCTTTAATGAACAATAACATGTCCTTATGCATGCTTACATGCACTCGCTGTCATTAACACTCTCACATGCATCCTTATGCACACTCGCATGAACTCCCACGTGTCATCATACACTTCCACATGCATTCAGTCGCAGGAGCACTCACATATGTCCTCATGCACACTCACATGCACTTACTCGCATGAACACTCTCACATGCATACCCATGCATGCTCACATCGCTCATATGCACTCAGTCTCATGAACCTCTCACTTCTCGTCTCATTGCATTCTTGAATGCACCTGCGCATACGCTTATTCAAGCTCTTTTCCATGCATTCTTGAATGCACCTGCGCATACGCTCATTCAAGCTCTTTTCCATGCATTCTTGAATGCACCTGCGCATACGCTCATTCAAGCTCTTTTCCATGCATTCTTGAATGCACCTGCGCATACGCTCATTCAAGCTCTTTTCCATGCATTCTTGAATGCACCTGCGCATACGCTCATTCAAGCACTCTCCAATGCATTTTTGAATGCACCTGCACATACGCTCATTCAGTCACTCTTTGATGCATTCTTGAATGCACCTGTGCATGCGCTCATTCAAGCAATCTTCCATGCATTCTTAAATCCAGCTGCGCATACGCTCATTCAATCACTCTTCGATGCATTCTTGAATGCACCTGCGCATGCGCTCATTCAAGCACTCTTCAATGCATTCTTGAATAATGAATGCAAGCTAGCATTAATAGTCATTCATTTTAGTTAACATATGCTATGATAATTTGAACAGGTTTTTATTCTTATTGTAAAATAATGGAACATTTAGGTCATGAATATTGTCTCAAAAGTCATGGAAATGTATTGGTAAAAATGTGTACGAACCCTGAATATAGTTAAGATAATTTTTTAATGTAAGAATTTTAGATTTTTATAGTCATGCGAAACTAAATAATAATAATAATTGTTGCTGTTGTAGTTTTTATAATTTTTTTTTATTTTAAAATTTAAATTATTATTTTTTTTTAAATATTTTACTATTTATTTACTTTTTTGTTTGGAATGAACACCCTTTTGCTATCATGGAGCTGCATTTTGCACAATGTGAAACAATACTTATTAACTATATCGTCTGGTATATATCGGCCTGTTGACAGTAATGCCACTTTTCTGTTTTTCTTCTTTTTGGTAGGAATAGAGTGATTAATTTAAAAAGGGGGGAAAAAAAAAAATATATATATATATTGTTTCATACATACCCAGGCTCTTGTCTTGAGTTATTCAAAACGCTTGAATCTTCAATGTAAAAATGTTCTTTCAGTTGTCCAGTAATTGACAACGGGGAGTCTCTCAAGTTCAACTCTAAGTTTGAGTCTGGAAACCTACGGAAAGCAATACAAGTCAGAAAGTATGTGCAGCATTAAATTATAAGCCATTTTTCTTTCATAAATGTGCTTTTCATAAAATAAAGAAGCCGTTTCTAATTTTTTTCATTTCTGTGTATTGCTTGTTTCTATCGGCAGGTTTGAGTATGACTTGATCTTGAACTCGGATATCAATAGTAATCACTACCACCAGTGGTTCTATTTCGAGGTGGGCAATATTCGTCCTGGAGTTCGTTATCGATTCAACATAATCAACTGTGAGAAGTCCAACAGCCAATTCAATTATGGTGAGTCACTTCAAGCATTAGTTCAGAAAGATACTCTACTCAAGTACACAAACACAGAAGTGAATGGCGATAGTTACTTTCAAATGTCTGTGCCATTAACCTGGATTATTAAGTATGAATAGAGCTAGAGGAAACCAATTTGTTCTTTTATTAACATAGAGTATGTATAGGGGTTGAAGAATATTCAGCTATTTGCATCCCACCAACCCATCTATATCCAGCTTTAGAATCAGAGTGTGTTTGTCAGATTTCTGATTTCTATATATGGTGTGACAGGCATGCAAGTGCTCATGTACTCCGTACAGGACGCCATCAACGGCAGCCCCCATTGGGTTAGAACAGGATCAGACATCTGTTACTACAAGTAAAGACCATCCTTTCCATGTTCATCATTACACGTTATCATTAACGGTTATAATGCATTCGAAATACAGTTATGGTTTAAAATAATTCAAGTTGACCTCTTTTCCTGTCTACCACAGAAATAATTTCTCACGAAGCTCCATTGCAGCTGGCGGTCAAAAGGGCAAATCCTACTTCACCTTGACCTTCACTGTGACCTTTCAGCATAAAGATGATGTTTGCTACTTTGCATACCATTACCCATACACCTACTCAATGCTGAAGGTACTTTACAAATGTGCCCTCCCTAAATTAATGCGTCTGATGGACAGTAATACCTAGAAGCCAATTAGTATACCAGTTTAGGTGCATAAAGAATGCTTATTATAAATCATAATGCTTTTTGTAGCCATTTTTACCTTAATATTCAGCAATACTGTTAGAGCTGTAGACTAGTGGTTTTGTATGGCAATATTAGCCCAGTAAGCATACATTTATGCGTACCTCAGAAATCCAGCAGAAAATGGATACCATCAGCGGACATATTTTTAATATATTATGTTACATACTGTATTTTGATTATGTTCCTCTTTTGTTTAGATGCATCTGCAGAAGCTGAGTGCTTTGCGCACAGCTCAGATCTACTACAGACAGGATGATCTGTGTGAAACTCTGGGAGGAAACAGCTGTCCCCTTCTCACCATCACAGCCATGCCAGGATCATCCAGCAATGATCACATCAGCCAGTTCAGTATGTAACACACACAAGAATATCACTGATAAGCATACAGCCATAGCAGTATAGCATTCTTAACATGCACTCACTCTCATGAACACATGCATTCTCTTGTAACACTCTCATATGCATTTGCTTTCATGAACACTCACTTGAACGCTCACACACCTTATAAACACACTCACACGCAGGCTCACATGCACCCACTTTCGTTAACACCCTTACAGTACATGCATCTTCATATGCTCACTCTCATTAACACTTTTTCATGTGTCCACATGCGTACTTGTATACACTCACTCCCATGAACACTCTTGCATGCATCCACTTTCATAAACACTCACATGCACTCACTCTCACAAACATTGTTTAATGTGTCCTCCTGCACTCTCTTTAATGAACAATAACATGTCCTTATGCATGCTTACATGCACTCGCTGTCATTAACACTCTCACATGCATCCTTATGCACACTCGCATGAACTCCCACGTGTCATCATACACTTCCACATGCATTCAGTCGCAGGAGCACTCACATATGTCCTCATGCACACTCACATGCACTTACTCGCATGAACACTCTCACATGCATACCCATGCATGCTCGCATCGCTCATATGCACTCCGTCGCATGCACCTATCCATTCTCGTCTCCTTGCATTCTTGAATGCACCTGCGCATACGCTCATTCAAGCTCTTTTCCATGCATTCTTGAATGCACCTGCGCATACGCTCATTCAAGCACTCTCCCATGCATTTTTGAATGCACCTGTGCATATGCTCATTCAGTCACTCTCCCATGCATTTTTGAATGCACCTGCACATACGCTCATTCAGTCACTCTTTGATGCATTCTTGAATGCACCTGTGCATGCGCTCATTCAAGCAATCTTCCATGCATTCTTAAATGCAGCTGCGCATACGCTCATTCAATCACTCTTCGATGCATTCTTGAATGCACCTGCGCATGCGCTCATTCAAGCACTCTTCAATGCATTCTTGAATAATGAATGCAAGCTGTCTGTGAATAGGTATGCTGTAATGTGTGTTTGTAGGAAGCCGTCCAGTGATGTTTCTGTCTGCGCGAGTACATCCTGGAGAGACTAACTCTAGCTGGGTGATGAAGGGCACTCTAGAGTATCTCATGAGTTGCAGTCCCCAAGCCCAACGTCTACGAGAGTGCTACATCTTCAAAATCATCCCCATGCTCAACCCTGATGGTGTCATTAATGGAAAGTATGTCAACATAGAACACTAGATTCTATAGAGATACTGACAGAGATGATGTTGACAATACTTTTTTTTTTAAAAAGTATTTACCCCTTTCATTCATCATTAGAATGCAGCACCATCCAAAGTTTTCCATTTTTAAAAATAACATGTTTTATATTTTAGTTCTATATCATTTCTAGAGGTGTCAATTTAACATGTTAATGTGATGCAGTTAATAATAGAAAAAATTGTGTCAAAATTATTAACGCATTTAAAGCACTCCACCCTGGCCCATACCTGTGCGTCAGGTCACATTGCATGCAGTTGCTTAAATTTTATGTTGAATCAAAATATTTCTTTTTAAAGCTACTTTTTTGTAATTTCTCAGCCCAAATTGATGTGCAATTAATTGTATTAATCGGCATACTGTATCATGCAGTGATTAGGTTTTGCATACTAAAAATATTGATATTTTTCATTCTTCACACACTTAATCTGTAATAACATATTTCCAATCTTCTTCGCTTTTACTCTGCAGTCATCGTTGTTCTCTGAGTGGGGAGGATCTGAACAGACAGTGGCAGAATCCCAATGCCGAGCTGCACCCCACCATCTACCACGCCAAGAGTCTCCTGCAGTACCTCAGAGCTACAGGAAGAACTCCGCTGGTGAGAGAGCATCACGCTGTACATGAGAGAACTCAGTTTAAATGGAGTTAATGACACAAGCAGTGTGTTTGTCTCTTAACTGTGTGTGTTTAGGTGTTCTGCGACTATCACGGCCATTCACGGAAGAAGAACGTTTTCATGTACGGCTGTAGTATTAAGGAGACGGTGTGGCAGACCAATGTCAACACCAGCACCTGTGAACTACACGAGGACCTTGGATACAGGGTAACACATCTGCACACTTTTATTAAATCTTTTATTGACATTTTTTGGCATGTATTATGTAGACATCATCTTACATTTACAGTATACAAAGATCCAGATCAATTATGATAACTAGCCAGCAAAAAATTTATTTGAGCAGAATATCCCGGTGTTTTCAGCTCCTCAGTGCTTTTTCTGTAATGTAGAGAAAGCCAGGTTGGGAATAGTATGCAAACCACTGGGCAGAAAATGTATCAATTTAAGAGAAGAGTTCTGATTTAAATTCCGGCAATCGCAACCTGAAAGCTTGTGAAGGCTTGTTATCAATGCAAGATAACACCAAACTGAAATGAAACTTTCTCAGAATAACTAACCAAATGTCACAAATGTAAAGCAAATATCAAAGACTATGATGTTTAATAAATCGACAAAAGCAGAAATTGTGATCACGATTAAAATGATTTTTCAAGTAGCCCTATCTGAATTGAATCAGCACTGAACTGTCTCCATAATTTAGCTATTTTCCTGTTTATTACTGCGAAGCTGCTTTGACACAATCTGTATTGTATAAAGCGCTATAGAAGTAAAGGTAGCTTGCCAACTTTGGAGCTTAAAATATTTGGGTTACATTATATAGACAAAAACAACTTAAGCATTATTGAAATATCACATACATTTTCGCAGGCTATAGTCAGTCATAAGATTTTGGAATGGCATGAGGATGAGTAAATGACAGAATTTTCATTTTTGGTGAGGATAAACAGTGTGTTTAAGTTTAAGGGGCAAAGTGATAGTAGAGAATAATCATGTAAAAAAAAGAGATACTCTCTGTCGAGTGTTGATCTTGATCAAGTAATTAGCTTTCTAAAATGCACTTGAAGTTGAAGAAGCTCATTGTGCGTCATGTTTTTTTAGACTCTGCCAAAGCTGCTGTCTCAGATGGCTCCAGCATTCAGTCTGTCCAGCTGCAGTTTTGTAGTCGAACGCTCTAAAGAGACCACGGCGCGAGTGGTGGTGTGGCGAGAGATCGGAGTGCAGCGCAGCTACACCATGGAGAGCACGCTGTGTGGCTGCGACCAGGGCAAATACAAGGTGAGGGGGGCTATTTACAGAAAAAGAGAGACGGATGTTTGTTTTTGTGTAATTAAATTTAAGCCTTTTTTTATCAGTAATATTTTAGAATATTTAGAAGTTTTTCAAAATCTTGGTGTCTGCTGAAAATTACCAAGAATATCGGGTTACCAAGACCACTGCAGATAAAGAACAAAAGCAAGCAGAGGATATAAATCACCATTTGGTTCTTATTATCCAATTATTTGATGTTCAGAGCAGGGGCAGGAAACAGTCGACATTAACGATCAGGGATCTGACGACATGCGTGCCATGAGAAAGTGTTTTAATGAGTACAGTCTAGGGTTCAATGATGGCCCAGGGTTAGTGTCAGTGAGTTTCAGGTTGCTTTATTGAATATCACTTTCCCAATCAGGGCACTGCAAGTCTTTTATATGACTTACATTTAAGTTTATTGATTTATTGATAATATACATGTATCTTGATACCTTGCAAACTTAAAAATGTGGTTTTCTGTGATTCTGTGATTTCTGTGGTAATGTTATCTAGTTGGCCAACAGAAAACTGAAATTTTGAGAATGAATTTTGGTAGCAGGTTTGGAGGCATCAGTTAGAATGAGTTGGAAAAAGGATTTTCTTATCAAAAATGTTTTAGGCAACAATAAATAATGTAATTTGTAAAAAAAAAAAAAAAAAAAAGCACTATTTAATGTATAATAGTATAGTAAACTATTTATATAAAAATAATAAAAAATTAATATACAAAATTACCAAAATTGTGTTAATGAGTAACTACATAAATCTTTTTATATTATATTATATTTAGTGCTGTCAAATGATTAATCGCATCCAAAATAAGTTTTTGTGTGTATACTGTATATTTATTATGTATATATATATATATACACACAAACATACAGTATATATTTTGATAATATTCACAAGTATTTACATGTATATATTTATATTCATATCATTTATATATGTGTGTATATATATATATATATATATATAAACATAACATATTTTTCTGAAATATATACATGCATGTGTGTGTATTTATATATACATAATACATTTTGGATGCTATTAATCACAATTAATCGTTTGACGGCACTAATTATATTATTCTAAAAATTTACCATGAAAATAGAGGCAGGGCAAGTACAAATGGGCCAACCTGGGCAGAAAAAAAAAGGTTATTCTTAGGCCAGAAATCAGCTAAGACAACTTGGCCAGTACTTATGTTCGATTATTAGCTTCTTATGACACAAGATCGCCTTTAATAACCAAATTCCAAATTCGGCTTTGATTTGTGTACTTGTGTGAAGTATGTTTCTTGCTATTATTGTTCTTGCTGTTATCTAGTAAGTGTCATTGAAATTAGTTTCTCACAGGGTGTGGGAACACTTAGAAAAGAGACAAGACACTTTCAAAATAGAACTCATTGTAACCCTGTGCAAATGCTGTGGAAACAGGCAAAGAAAAAAACACTTCAGCTTGCCAATTGTTAACACCGAATGAGTTTTAACCATATGCAGGGTGCAAATAAACGTTGTCCAGTGTGACATCAGGACTCTTGGCTCTCTGTGAAGGTGAGATAGTTAAGTTATCTAATGATACGGCAAGGTCTTGGCAGGGTGTTTCTTGGCTGGAATGAACAACAGCTTGGTTTGTGATAATTCAGCCATCTGAGATGAGTGTTCATCCAGACAGAGATGCCACACTATACCCTGTGTTAGCAATTCACGACTCGCTGGGCTTCATAACCCACAGTTCAAAACAGTGCTGAGCCCTTTTCACATTGTTTAACCCAGTTGTAAAAGTGGCGTTAAGCCTGAGTTAACATCTTTTTTAACCCAGGGTTATGCGTAATGCGAAAAGCCTGTACAAGTGTGTATAGCTGTGGGGTTACTCGGCCTATCAAAAGGTGGAGAATAAGAATGATGTGAGAACTTTTCACCAGTTGTTTGTTCTGGAACAATGCTGTAAGACTTTCTGCAATCCTCCCAAGTAAAAACAACTACACCTTCATCACTGGACTTCATAAAGTGGAAATAATTCTACACATTGCCTGTTCAAAATCAGCTTAGTGTGCCTAATATCAGAGAAATGATGGAAAACGTTTGACCACCCCTACTGACTATTTTCTACATTTTAGAATCACAGTTAAGTTGTCGAAATTCTGAAATAACATAAGCAAAAAGCATGTTCTAGCATCACTCTAGAGTTTGTTTACTGATGTAGCCAGTAAACCATTGCTTTCAGGTTTCACTAAAGCTGCCTCAAAATGCATAGATGTCATTTTGCGATCATAAAGGTAGTTTTTCAAAATATGCATGTCTAAAAATATGTATAATGTATTGATAACGCATAAATTACTTTGCATTTAATCAGCTATTCCTGTAGCTTGAAAAGTAGGCAAATTATATCTGTTATATATTTACCCTAAACCTGAAGCATTTCCACATAGGAAGCATTTTGTAATGTTACATTCTAATGACAGTGTCATTCGGTATAGCTGCATTTTTGATATTTCCACTGACACATACAGTATCTGTAACAAAAAAAAGAAAAAAGAAAATTGGACTTATTCATTGTTTCTTGGACACCAGCAGAATCCACTGACACACAAGAGCTGAACAGATGTCATTAATATTATCAAAAGTGATATAACCGTATAGCTGCATTTTTGATATTTCCACTGACACATACAGTATCTGTAACAAAAAAAAGAAAATTGGACTTATTCATTGTTTCTTGGACACCAGCAGAATCCACTGACACACAAGAGCTGAACAGATGTCATTAATATTATCAAAAGTGATATAACCACTGCTTGTTTCTCTACCTAAATGATGTTTAAATATTGATGGTTTTCATACTGAAGGAGAACAGTAGATGGCGCTATAGGCCATGTGTGAAAGATCCGTGACTCACAGTCTCCTGTCTGCAGGACGCATAATGGCGTCTCTGAGTTCAAGGAACATGGCTGAAGCTTCTTTCTGCCCAGTATGTGAATATAACAGTGACAAACTTAAAATTTACAATAACTAGATTAGTGCTATGCTAATGTATTGTCCCATTAAAACTAATAAGCAGCTCTGTATTCTATAGTTTTAAAACAGTGTGTTCAGACCTGTGTTGAAGCCATCAAATATTGGCTCATGTGACCACTACATGTTTGAATCTGAAACAGCATGTAACCTTTTCTGTATTCTAATTGTCTGTCCCTTAATTTTTGTATAAGTTGCTATAAGAGAGCCATGTTAATTTTACTTTATTTCCCTTTTAAACATTTTAATTAATTTCAGTTTAATTAAGTTTAATTTTTGACAAAGACTGATCCAAAAAATTGCCCACTTTAAGAGACCACCAGACTGATATGTCTAGCTGCCTGCCATTTGTTTTTACATGTCATTTAGCAGCAGGTTTAAATTCAGCAATAAGCCCCAAGAAGCCGTGGTTTACAGTGAGTTTATAACAGCTAAGGGGCGTTGTTAGAAACCCCCCTTAGCTGTTATAAAATCACTGTAAACCATGGCTTCACTGGGCTTATTGCTTCTATAAAACAGTTATTCCATATACGTAGTAAGGTTTCACAAAATAAAACAGCAAATAAAGTGTAATGATATTAATAAAAACATTATTCTTCCGCCAAACAATGTAGTTCCTCAGAAACAGTAGTGGTACCAGCTTCGAACGCGGCTCAACCAATCAGAATCAAGGACCGGAGCTATCTGTTTTATAATGATAGTTAATAAATAATAATAAAAACAGGTATGGGGGAAAACATTTAAAAAAAACAATTAAATACCGGCTCAGCATTCTCTGTGAGCAGCTTTAACAGAAAACACCAGAACATTTTAGAAACTGTTTACTTTTGCGATCAGAATCCAAAAGCAATACAGTAAGTGCTGTTTACTTCACAGACACAAAACAAAGCAGCTTGTGGGTATCTAGTTTACTTGCTACTAAGTACCACAAACTAAATTCTTTCAAAGATTCAACCAAGTCTCAGCCTTTCTCACACAGAGCAACCTCCTGGACAGCAACCAATCTGGCTTCAGAAGTGGACATTCGACCGAGACTGCCTTGCTTTCTGTTGTTGAAGCCCTAAGACTGGCAAGAGTGGCTTTCAAAATATTCTATACGTATATTGCTGGATCTAGCCACTGCTTTTGATACGGTGAGCCACCAGATTCTCCTGTCAACCCTATTGGAAAATGGCATCTCAGGAACCGCACGCCAGTGGTTTGAGTCTTACCTCTCAGATAGGTCCTTCAAGGTATCTTGGAGAGGTGAGGTGTCCAAGTCGCAACATCTAGCTACTGGGGTGCCTCAGGGCTCAGTTCTTGGACCACTTCTCTTCTCTGTCTACATGGCATCACTAGGTTCTGTCATTCAGAAACATGGCTTTTCATATCACTGCTATGCTGATGACACTCAACTCTACCTCTCATTCCATCCTGATGATCCGACGATAGCTGCTCCTCATTTGTAAGTCGCTTTGGATAAAAGCGTCTGCTAAACGACTAAATGTAAATGTAAGTTTTAGTTTTGTGTATGGTATACCCAATGACCAAAAATATAATATAATATAATATATATATAATTATATATATTATTATTATTATTATTCAATGAACAGCTGTCTGTTTCACGTTGTGCTGTCCTTCATTATGAATTATGAATTACAGATTTTTACCCAAATGACAATAAATTTGACAAAAGCAACTTTACAGCTCAAATAATCACAAGTTTTAACAGAAGAATTAATCTTTTAAAATTAATTAAGAATTAAATTAAAAAAGTGATTTTTATAATGTCATAAGCGCCACATTTCTGCATTTAAAGGGATAGTTCACCCAAAAATGAAAATTTGAAAATACCTGCTTACCCCCAGGGCATCCAAGATGTAGGTGACTTTTGTTTCTTCAGTAGAACACAAACAAAGATTTTTTTAACATAAACCGTTGCAGTCTGTCAGTCTTATAATGGAGGTGAATGGGAATCACGTTTCTTGCACAGACCGATCGTTTTGTGTCTTTACACATCAATGTATCGTCACGAGCCGCAGGGTTTAATTTGGTTTTGTTTGTGTATGTTTTTTTTTTTACTCTCAAAGTTGTGATTCCCATTCACCTCCATTATAAGACTGACAGACTGCAACGGTTTGTGTTAAAAAACCTTTGTTTGTGTGCTACTGAAGAAACAAAGTCACCTACATCTTGGATGCCCTGGGGGTAAGCAGGTAAACATCAAACTTTCATTTTTGGGTGAACTATCCCTTGTAAAAGTTTTGGCGAGTTGAAATTATTTTTGAGGAAATCAACAAACAAATGGCACAAACAAATAAATAATATGCATGCTAATAAGCAACTAGTTAATAGTGAGAATTGGTCATTTAAAATAAAGTGTTACCATATTTGTCTTTTTATTTGAAATAAATGTTTAAAATGTAAATAGTTACAAATTGTATATATTATTTTATAGTGGACCTGGAATATACATTGAATTCATTCCTCTAATGATATTATTTAATATGTTTTAATTAACTATTTTAATTCATCATGTCCCACATCCAGACAATATACACTCAGAGACCCCTATGCTGAGTGAATGAGGACATAAAATCGCACGTCCTCTGTTAATAAATTTAACCCAGATGTCAATCCTTTACAAATAGTCCATGTAACAGGTGATCTGTGTGTGTGTGTGTGTGTGTGTGTGTGTGTGTGTTTGCAGGGGCTCCAGATCGGTACAAGTGAACTGGAAGAAATGGGTGCTCAGTTTTGTTTGGCTCTGCTCAGGCTAAGACGCTTCACGTCCCCCTTAGAGCTCCACAACCACAACTCCCATCTGCTGGACACGGAGAACGACCTGATAGACACCCGCAGCATCCCCAACATCACCAGGTAAACGCTCACGCACCAGTACAGTGACCGTATCCAGCTCAGGACGTCCTGTTATCCGGCTGCCGCATGAACCGGCACAACAGCTGCCATATCGAATCTCAATACAACATTAAGCAGCTCGGAGCCCGCAATGTTTAGAACAATAATAGCCATGATGTCCATGATGTCAGAAGCTTCTATAGTCTAGAAGCTTCTTGGGAACGTACTTCGGCCCCTCCCAGCTTGTGTATTTCTGTAATGGATAACAACACGCACACACACACACACACGATCTTGCAGGCCTCTTCTAATGGCCGGCACCACTTGAGGAGATGTCAGTCACATGGGGCTCAGTGCACTTGAGTGAAGAGAGAAGCACTCTACTCATTATAGTCATCTAATCACCTGATCAAAACGCCCGCTAATCCACTTTGAGTCTGCCCCCCCCTCCCCTCTGCCCGTCTCGCTCCGATCTAGTTGCTTCCCCCTCACACCATTAAAACCATTAAAAACCCACTAAAACCAGCCAAACCACCAGACCACACATTAAACCATTTAACTGCTTAACAAGAGAGCCATAAAACCATCATCACTCTTAGTAAAGTTATTGCGTTAGGAGAGAGACACCGAGAGAGAGGCATGCAAAGAAATGCCTCCTCTGCCGCCACATGAGGTTTTCGACCACTAACCTGCAGGAGTCATTTATTGGTTTTGTTGTATTGAGCGGTCATTTATTATAGCTCAAAATTAGGGTTAGCGATTTGAACAACCCTTTAACCTACAGTATTAAACTGTGGCTCGGAACTCGTCCCGCAGCGTTTATGCTAAGGGCATGAATGATGACTCAAATTGTGCAGCTTGTTGAGGAGAGACTTACAATGAATGGGGGTTCTGAGTTATTTCTAAAGGGAAGAATATTATAGAGTTCTGTTTACTTGGTCCGCCATATACCAAACAATCATGGGAATATCTGGTAAACTTGCAGTTTTATATAGTATACACAGCCTGTATACACTGCCTGCCATTTGCATTCAAATAAGCAAATACTGAAGACTCTAGAATTGCAGCGTTATTGCAGTGATTAATATGTTGTATGTTTGGCAACAGCTCTTTTAACCCTAACTGATGCAGTGTGTAGCTTTTTGGGTTACACTTTATTTCGATAGTCCACTTTAGACACTGTATTAACTATAAGTAACTTTGTAACTACATGTCAACTAATTCTCATTAATTTGCAACTACATGTCTACTCACTCTCAGAGTAGACTGTTAGGGTAGGTTAAGGGTTAGTAGAATAAGTTGACAAAGAAAAGTGTTAGAAGATATTAAGCAGACTGTCTACTAATACTCTACTAACTGCTAGTTGACATGTAGTTGCAAAGTTACTTACTGTTAATAGAATGTCTAAAGTGGACTATCGAAATAAAGTGTTACCGCTTTTTGTTTCTCAAACAACCAGGGGCCAGATTTACTAGCAGCTTGCTTCAGTGCAAAACGTCTTTTGGCGTTAAAATAGTACTGTTAGGATTTACTAAAGACGCGCAGTGACGAATTAGCGCTGAAGAGACGTGGACACAGTTATTTTTGCGCCTGAACTTATTGAATATGCATTTGTAGGAGTTTCCCTTTCAGATGCTAAATTTACGGGAGGAGGGTATTAATATGGATCGCCCAATGCGATTTATTAACGTTTGCGCTCGTCAAATTACTGGTATTATACAACCCCAAAAAAGCATGTCTTGAAGCCAGTGGAAATTTGCACTGCTCTTGGTAGATTGCGCTGGTCATTATGGAAATGATCTGGCTGCGTCAGTGTTCTTCCCATCAGGGCTTTTATGGAATTGCGCTCTAACACTAATTTGCAGTGTTTAGTAAATCTGGTCCTAGTTTGGAAGGCGTGCTCATGTCAATATTTCAGGATGGCAATGTCAGGATTCATTGGACCCAAACTGTGGAATAATGGTTCAGTGAGCATGAGGAATCATTTTCACATATGATTTAACCAACACAGAGTCCTGAGCTTAACCCTACTGAAAGTCTGGAGTCGACTTTAACTCTCCCTTTGTCAATACAAGATCACAGCCAAAAATGTATGCAACTCTTAATGGAAATAAATGTTGTAATGTTGCATAATGTTGTCTAAACAATGCCACAATGAATGCATAATGTTATTAAAGCTGAAGGGCCCTATCATACACCCAGCGCAATGTGGCGCCAGGCACAACGCAAATGTTTTTTGCTAGTTTAAGCCCGACGCAGTTGTCATTTTCCCGTCCTATGCCACGTTGTTTAAATAGTAAATGCATTTGCGCCCATTTGTGCGCCCATGGGCGTGCTGGTCTGAAAACGAGGTGTGTTCAGACGCATTGCTGGCGCGTTGCTATTTTGAGGCAACTGAAATAGACTGCGCCATTGACCAACTAAAACCTGGTCTAAAGTCAATGGCAAGTAGTTTTTTTGTTATTTAAAGAGCGCGTTAGTATAGGCGGGTCCACAGTGCGCGTACGCTCTGCTTCTTACACACACACAGGGACGCACAGCAGCACACAAACATGCCAAATATAAAAAATTTAAGGATTGCAATGTAAAAGATTATTATTGTGTAGGCTACATAAATATAAAAATGCCTACGTGTCATAATGGATAGTCATTTCATGTATCATAATTAGGCTACCTATTTGCTCGTGCACGAGCATCTCCGTTTCCTCTCTGGAGATGCGTTCTGTCTTTGCGCTTGCAAATTCCGCCGTTTAAATAGCAAATCCGCTATGGCACAAGCGCAACTGGCTCTTAAAGGGAATGGGAGATGAGACTCTGATTGGTTTATTGCACATTATGCCCAAAACACACCCATTACTCATTAAAATAGGGACAACCCTTTTAGACCATGCGCCAGGCACGCCGACTGTTTTTCCCATCGTTAAACTACGTGCACCTGCGCCGTGCGCTTTAGACCATGCGCTTAGAGCGTTAAAATAGGGTCCAAAGACAGTCCAATTAAATATTAGTCTGCAACTTTTTTGGGCAGGCAGTATAAAGTCAACTCACACATCACAAAGACTTTCAGTGGGGTTAAGTTTGGGACTCTGTGTTGGCCAATCTCTCTAAATTTGGGCCCAATGAATCTTGACATTGACATCCTGGAATATGTACATGGGTACATCTTCTGACATGGTTGTTTAAGAAATAAAAAGCTTCACACTGCATTAGTTAGGGTTAAAAAAATTGTTGCCCAACATGCAACATGCCATAAAAAATTAAATTTACCCCATGAATTACTCACCCTCAAGGAATTGTAGGTGTATATGACTTTGTTCTTTCAGACAAATACAATCAGAGTTATAAAAAATGTCCTGGCTCTTCCAAGCTTAATAATGGCAGTGAATGGGGGTTGAGATTTTGAAGCCCAAAAAAGTGCATCCATCCATCATAAAAAGTGCTCCACTCAAGTGGTTAATAAAGGCCTTCTGAAGTAATACATGCATTTGTGTAAGAAAAATATCCATATTTAAAACTATATAAACCGTAATCTCTAGCTTCCGCTAACTGTCATACTCATGTTCATGAGAGAGTGGTGTTCCTGCGGATGATGTAGGAAGAAGGTGTAGCATAAACTCCGGTGAGAATATGCTAGTCTCGCGAGAACCACGTTTTGTTTACAGCCAAGGAAAACCAGTCTCCTGTTGGCTTAAATGGACAGGAGTGGCCTGTAGGTGTTGTGAATAAGGCCATTGAGTGAACTGACTTACCTTAAAAGGGACTTTCATGAATTATATATCCAGAAGTTAAAAGTATATGAATTTTAGGTAAAATAGAAGTATAAGTAATGAATGCACTGCTTTTAAAGTACTTCCAAACTGTATGTTTAAAAGCTTCAAGACAGCAAGGATTTCCTGGTTGTTATGAAGCCGCTGATTGTGCTCTAATTGTAGAATCCATTCTGATTGCAAATAAGTAATTCACTTGAATATAATGATCATCAATGCACACTTGACACAGAAGATGCTTATCGACATACAACTGCTGGATTAACCCGATGGTGCAGTAGCTGCTATATAACTGCTGCCCCGCACAGGAGCTGCTGATGTTGGTAGAGCCAATCTTCATGAAAACTGCACATGCTTAGAATTGCTTAGCCTAATTAAATGTAAATACATAATGATTCTAATTGCATGAATAAATTCATTTTCTCTCTTAAGATGTTTCGAAACATGAACTCTCATTCATAGCATTGTTTAGTTACTCAATCTCACATGCAAACATTATAATTCCATTAGCATCTTTGGGAAGCTAGCTTAAACATAAATTGCATTTTCTTATGCTTAGCATTGCTTAATATGATCCATAAGTACATTCATGTATTGTTTCTCATGCATGATTGAGCTCATTGACTTCTATAAATACCTTAATGTGTGTCAGAGCCGATATACTTATGGAGAGCCCTCCGACATGGAAAGCGGTTGCACTTCAGACGACCCGAGTTCGAGTCCCGACTCGAGGACCCTTCCCAATCCCATCTTCCTCTCTCCACCATTTCGCTTCCTGTCTGTCTATATTGCAATATGTCCTATAACAATAAAGCCAAAATGCCACACAAAAAAGGTTTAAAATGCTATGCTAATGCTGCTGCTTAGACCCTATGCGAATATGCACTGATTCGCACTGCCAATTTAACTTTTAAAGGAACACTCCACTATTTTTGAAAATAGCCTCTTTTTCCAACTCCCCTAGAGTTAAACAGTTGAGTTTTACCGTTTTCGCATCCATTCAGCAGATCTCCGGGTCTAGCGGTAGCACTTTTAGCTGTAGCTTAGCATAGATCATTGAATCTGATTAGACCGTTAGCATCTCGCTCAGCAGGCGCAATGATATTACGCAGCGCCAGAAAATAGTCCCCAGCATGCTCCCTGTGCAAGCAGGTGGTCACGTTGGTTATGTTGACGAAAGTTAGCCTATTTTCAGGTGCTGCGTAATGTCATTGCGCCTGCTGCACCCATGGTACGGGAGCAAAGTTCCTTGATAATTACGCCGGAATGCGAGTATAGTTCCTAGCCATATCAGCCTCGAAAATCGCAACTTTTCATCTTAGTACACAATGTAACTACAGTAGAGTCAAGTTTTAAATAGGAAAAAATATAGAAACTCTTTGGTAATTTTTGAGGGAGATGCTAACGGTCTAATCAGATTCAATGATCTATGCTAAGCTACAGCTAAAAGTGCTACCGCCAGACCCGGAGATCGGCTGAATGGATTCGAAAACGGTAAAACTCAACTGTTTAACTCTAGGGGAGTTGGAAAATGAGCCTATTTTCAAAAATAGTGGAGTGTTCCTTCAACATCTTTGCATCCGAGCAAAGCTTAGGGCATGTTTACACTTGGCAGGTTAGGTTCATTTAAAACTAATGCTGGTGTGATTTCTCGGTTAGTGCAGATGGAAGGTCATTAGTCAAAAGGTGTGAGAACACTGCGACTGAAACAAAAACACCTAGCAATTACCCAGAACGCCTTATTAACAGTAACACCCTAACATTAAGGCATCAAGTTTTGCCTTCCAAACATCACTTGCAGAAGAGAGAAAAAATCTCACACGACTGAGTATTAAAGTAGTGTTAATAGAAATGAGGTAGACTGATTGTGATTTATGGGAATAAATTGTTCTATCTGTTTCTGTCTGAAGATATGATCTCACTTCTCATATACTTAGCCATGTGTGTGTGTTTCCTGCAGTCCCACCACATACGTGTTGGAAGAGGATGAGCCAGCGTTCCTGGAGGAAGTCGACTACAGCGCAGAAAGCAATGACGAGAATGATCCTGATCTTGAACCCGATCTCCAGGATAACCATGCCCTCCCGGACCCCAATTCTGACTCAGAGTTCAGCCGCCAAGACTCACTTAACTGAAATAGAACCAGACTTACTTTAGTGTAAGGCTTTAGCTGATCTCACCGGTCATTTGCCTGTGTACTACATCACTCGTGTTTGCTTAATTGCCTATTTTATAGAAACTCGTTTGTTCACAAAGTTGACCTAAATCAGAATAACCTAACTTCAAAATTGTCTTTCTAACAACAAACATAACATAATAATGCAGAAGATCCTTTTGAGACCATAATGCTTATAGATGCTTTACAAGTTACACCATTATTAGTAATGTTAGAAATCAATCTAGAACACGTCATTATTAAAATGGAGGTAAAGTTTTGTCGCTATTTACTTATCCTCAAGTTCCAAACCGGTTTAACTTTCAAAATTCTGTGGAACACAAAAGTAGATGTTTTGAAGAATGTTCACACTTCTCTGTGTTTCGTACAATGAAAATGTAGTTTCAAAGGGATAGTTCACCCAAAAGTGAAAATTTGCTGGGGGTTTTTTTGTTTTTTTTCCTCTGCCTGAGGTCATTCAAGAAGTAGGTGACTTTTTTTCTTGAGTAGAACAGTAAAGAAGAGTTTTAGCTGAAACCGTGGTCCTTGGTGATTCATAAAATGCAAGTCAATGGCTACTGTCACTTTAGGAGTCAAAAAGCATATACAGGCAACACAAAATTAATACTCATGGCTATATATTGAGGTCTTATGAAGTGAAACGATTGGTCTGTGCAAGAAACTGAACATTATTTACAACGTTATCTGTAATCCGGAGCTTCAGGCAAACAGTGAGTATGTCTGGATAATGTTCAGTTTCTTGCACAGACCAATCGTTTCACTTCATGAGACCTCAATAACCTAACTTCAAAATTGTCTTTCTAACAACAAACATAACATAATAATGCAGAAGATCCTTTTGAGACCATAATGCTTATAGATGCTTTACAAGTTACACCATTATTAGTAATGTTAGAAATCAATCTAGAACACGTCATTATTAAAATGGAGGTAAAGTTTTGTCGCTATTTACTTATCCTCAAGTTCCAAACCGGTTTAACTTTCAAAATTCTGTGGAACACAAAAGTAGATGTTTTGAAGAATGTTCACACTTCTCTGTGATTCGTACAATGAAAATGTAGTTTCAAAGGGATAGTTCACCCAAAAGTGAAAATTTGCTGTTTTTTTTTTGTTTTTTTTTCTCTGCCTGAGGTCATTCAAGAAGTAGGTGACTTTTTTTCTTGAGTAGAACAGTAAAGACGAGTTTTAGCTGAAACCGTGGTCCTTGGTGATTCATAAAATGCAAGTCAATGGCTACTGTCACTTTAGGAGTCAAAAAGCATATACAGGCAACACAAAATTAATACTCATGGCTATATATTGAGGTCTTATGAAGTGAAACGATTGGTCTGTGCAAGAAACTGAACATTATTTACAACGTTATCTGTAATCCGGAGCTTCAGGCAAACAGTGAGTATGTCTGGATAATGTTCAGTTTCTTGCACAGACCAATCGTTTCACTTCATGAGACCTCAATATATTATCAGGAGCCATGAGTATTCATTTTTTGTTATCTGTATATGCTTTTTTGACTCTCAAAGTGATGGCAGCCACTGACTTGCATTTTATGAATCACCAAGGATCACGGTTCCAGTTAAACATCTTTAATGTTCTACTGAAGAAAAAAAGTCACCTACATCTTGGACGGCCTGAGGGTGAGTAAATTAACAGCAAATGTTCATTTTTAAGTGAACTATCGCTTTTGCTGCATGATATGTTCCCCAGAAGAGAACGTCAAACAGATTGGGAAGGACATGAGGTTGAGTAAATGACAGAACCTTTAAAACTCTGAAAAGTGAAAATGTAACAGTCCCTATAATAAGAAATTGGATGGAATTATTAATTATACGTATTAACAAAAAATAAAATGTTATGTGCTAAACCAGGGGTGCCCAAGCTCGGTCCTGGAATCAGGAGCCATGAGTATTCATTTTTTGTTATCTGTATATGCTTTTTTGACTCTCAAAGTGATGGCAGCCACTGACTTGCATTTTATGAATCACCAAGGACCACGGTTCCAGTTAAACATCTTTAATGTTCTACTGAAGAAAAAAAAGTCACCTACATCTTGGACGGCCTGAGGGTGAGTAAATTAACAGCAAATGTTCATTTTTGAGTGAACTATCGCTTTTGCTGCATGATATGTTCCCCAGAAGAGAACGTCAAACAGATTTGGAAGGACATGAGGTTGAGTAAATGACAGAACCTTTAAAACTCTGAAAAGTGAAAATGTAACAGTCCCTGTAATAAGAAATTGGATGGAATTATTAATTATACGTATTAACAAAAAATTAAATGTTATGTGCTAAACCAGGGGTGCCCAAGCTCGGTCCTGGAGGGCCGGTGTCCTGCAGAGTTTAGCTCCAACCCCAATTAGACACACCTGAAGCAGCTAATCAAGCTCTTACTAGGCATACTAGAAACTTCCTGGCAGATGTGTTGAGGCAAGTTGGAGCTAAACTCTGCAGGACATCGGCCCTCCAGGACCGAGTTTGGGCACCCCTGTGCTAAACGGTCTGGTGCTATATTATAAAAGGCCATGACCATTTCATAAATACTGGTGTTTCCTTGACTCACAATTCATTAAGAACAGCTGGTATAGCTGTAATCCTGATGCAACATGACATATGGTCATCTAACAAACCACAGTGTCACGTAACTTCACTATGAGGATAGAATCAAAGCCGCATGCTCATAACAACACCTCACAGTGCAACAATGCAGTCTAATGAATGTAACGTCACTCTTATTCTCACGAGAAATGCTCACCTGCGTGCTTCCTGTGGCCTGATAGGATCACCATGAGGTCGCAGTGCTAGATCAGTATCGTTTGTGTGAGTGCGTGTTCCCGGCACATTTTGTGGCTGTACTTGCTTTTCAATTGGGAGAGCTTCTGTATTTTAATTTAGATGTTAATATTTATTTGTTGCATTTGTATAATTAGTGCATGGTTTTTGGAAGTCGCCTTTTTAATTTATTTCATTCGTTTTATTTGTTAATTGGGAGAAAAGAAAGGTAAAACTTGATTTTGATGTTGGCAGTGCAGCGTGTGTGAGTGTGCTTGTTTGTATTCGCGTTTGTTTGATGTCAGCAGTTGGCCAAAGTACTAAATGGGTGTATGGGGTAGAGAAAAATGTATAAGTTTGGTTGTGTTTGAATGGTTGTCAATCTTTGATTAAAAATATGGGTAATAAACAACTAAGTTAAACTGATCCATTTGTCGCATTTGCACTTATTTTGGATTTAAATGACTTTTTTTTTTTTAATTAAGACTCCGATTCAGCGTGGACAAATTAATGTACTTGCTGATATTTATTTCAATATATGCTAATAAATGATATTCTTGAACTTTTTGTTCATCAAATCCTAGAAAAAAATGTCACAGTTTCCACAAAATTATGAAGCTGCACAACTCTTTTCAACACTGATAATAGGAAATGTTTCTAGTATATTAGACTGATTTCTGAAGGATCATGAAGACTGGAGTATTGATGCTGAAAATTCAGCTTTGATCACAGCAATAAATTACATTTTAACACTTAAACATTAAAATCTGTGATAGATTGATACTGCACATTTTAAGATTTCAGATATTTTCATGAATTTTAAGTAGTGTCAAACGATTAATTGCGATTAATCACATCCAAAATAAAAGTTTTTGTTTACATAATGTGTGTGTGTGTGTGTACTGTGTATATTTATTATGTTTATATAAATACACACACATGCATGTATAGATTTAAGAAAAATATGTTGTTTATATATTAAATATTTTTTATATATAATATAAATTATATGAATATAAATAAATACATGTAAATATTTTCAAAATATATACTGTGTGTGTGTATTTATATATATATATATATATACACAGTACACACACATACAACAAACTTTTATTTTGGATGTGATTAATCGCGATTAATCGTTTGACAGCACTAACTTTAAGTAAAAACTAAACAAAATAAATATTTAAATTCATAACTTTAGCTATCATTAAATTGTATCATTTGAGCTACCCATGTTGGCTGACCAGCTAATTAAAATACACACTTTCCAAATATTATCACTAAATTTCAACATTTTACAGTACATGCTATAATGGAATTGCGCCAACTGTGATAAAACCGAATGTACTGTAGCACAGCCTCTCGTACCTTAACTAGCTAGACTTTACCTAGCGAAAAACCATGACGTTTATAACACAACAGACGTTCATCTGCCCAGAAGATTCTTACTGTTAAAAGGATGCCTGAGACAACTTTACAGCTCAAATAACACTTATTTTGTATGAAATAATTAATGTAAGCACTTTAACAAAATTAGAAGCTTTACATTTAGGCTTCTAAATGTCTCCTAAATGCCTTGCCCATAGGTTTCTTTTGTACATGTATTAGTGCAAATGTTATTTTGCATTTTTACAAACTGTGGCACGACAACATGCCGTCTATAAAGCTTAGCTTGTTTTGAACCCGGAACACTGTGGACAAGTGGCCGGTCAGACAAGAAAGAGTAAAATGAGAGAATGAATAAGTGGGAACGGGAGAGATGTGGCTTAAGCAGCGGAAGAATGCTAATCCACAGTCGGCATGCCAAAAGAAAGCTCCCGTCTTTTCAGCTCTGTCACTTCCTCTTTCTTTTCAGCATCCCTTCATTTTCCACAGCACAGAAACAAAAGACTCAATCCCAGCTGGCCCTCAAAGACAGCTGTATTCACATCAGGCCCCTAATTAACCTCACCAATACATTTGACATGCATATGTCAACACAATCTGATGCTCCCCTGACTATTAATTTAAAACCCATTCATTGGCTTTCATGTAACTCCATTCATTGTGCAGATCTTTATCAGTGTTTTTCATGAGACTGAGGTTGTAAAAGCTTTTTTTCCCTCTTTCTTTCTCACTCCCCATTGTTTGCATATTTTTTATAGATGTATATGACCTACTGATTACATTGTCCAAAGCCATAAACAATTTAAACAGGGAGTTAAAGCTAAGCCATCTAAAAAAGTTCCCAGCCAACGCCAGTGTTTTTGCTGATTTTCACTAAAAATGTCATGGCCCCCTGAATATTTTGTTGTATGAATATCTGAACATGCAATACATCAAAATAAAGATCAGACCCTCTACTTTCAAACAAACAAACTGTTTTAGTCTTGCTTAAAGCATTGTTTTTTTGTTTTTTTTAATCAACACTTGAATGTAGGTAGGTTTCATAAAAAAAGCAACGTTTTGAGCAAAAAGCTTTTTATCAAATACTACATCTGGATTCAGTAATATTATCAAAGCAGTAGATGACTTCCATCAGTCCTCCCAAAGCTTCCACAGGCCTTTACCACTTTCTGGATTAACATTTCACTCTGTAACATTAGGCGGTTTTCATTTATTTGCGGTCAGTGTTGATGATCGCATTATTTTTCATATGGATATGCTTACATAC